TTGCGGCTGCACGTAGCAACACACGCCACTGTATTATACAGTATTCGTCGTCGATATGCTCGGATATATCCGTGCCTTACGAAATGCTGAGATGCTCAGCAATCTTAAAACACATGTTTGAACATACGGCTGCATACTCGATGTCAGTGCTTTATTTGTCTTTTCACACATTTCTTTGAAACGGACTCTAGAACTTGACACCGAAAAACCGCCGAATAATGATTGCAATTACAACAAACAATTAACCGCTTTATCTGAGATAATTTTCAAAAAAGTCTATTAAATCTAACCATCAACAGCATATTCTGAATTTCAGTGAACCCAGAAACTTCAAACATATCAAACGGTATCAGTAGACATTTTATTTTTGTTCACAGCGGATTGATATGCAATCAATGAGTCTACAATGTTCAAGAGCTCGACTTTGTGTGGCGAATGCAGTTTTTCTGTTCCAATAGATGATAAAAAACAACATATAACATGTGCCCCACACAGTTGGCAGCTACGAAAAAATCAATCAATGAACCAATTTGTCATCATTCATTGACGCGAATAATTTCCATTGAAATGAAAAGACCAGATTTTATATTTGATAAACTTTCCTGTTTGTTTTTATTCAATGCAAATTGATGTTTGAGCCAAAGTTTTGTCTTTTGATGTGATCAATTTCAAGTTTAATTCCTTGACAGCAGACAGCTACTTGTGAATCTTCTTGTGTTTGTTGAGATGTGCCTTTTGCGAGAAGCACTTCGAGCATGTTTCACATCGGAAAGGCTTTTCACCAGTATGGACTCGCATATGGTCCATCAAATTTCCTTTCTGATCAGTTGTGTAGGTCTTGCACAAATCGCATCGGTATCCGCGTCGCTTGCAGTTGGCTTCATGATTTTCCTTTTCCTTTTGTTGGGCAAAATTTTTGAAACAAGATGAACACTTGAACTTCAATGAACGAGGATTGGCGTGTGATTTGCGGTGGCGTTCCAAATTACTCGCGAGATTGAATCTTTGCATTCGAGCATTGGTCGCATTCGAATGGTCGCTCGCCGGTGTGAACGCGCAAATGACGTTTAAAATCCTTTTTTTCCAATGTAGAGAATTCCGTGCACAGATGACACTCGTAGCGATGCACATTGCAACCGGTTTCATGTTTCACTTTCTCCTCGCTGCGATGAAATCCTTGCAAACAATTCGAGCAACTGAAAAGAAACTCATCGACGTGTGTTTTCATGTGCGATTGGAGATTTTGTTTTGTTGTAAATCGCTTCCGGCACACGCTGCATGGAAATGGTCGTTCGCCGGTGTGCTTGAGCATGTGTCTTTTCAAATGACTTTTGTTGGAAGTCTGATACTCGCACAATGAACACTTGTGTCGCTTTTCATTTGCCTTGTCTTGAGCTGGTTTCTGCTTGCTACCAAAACTATTTGCTTTGCCACTTTTTCCAACCTTGGCTGAATATTTTTTTGCCGCACCGTCATCCGATCCATTTGATTTTGGTTTCGGAAAACGCTTGTTCGCATCGTTTCGTGGCTTTCGATTTTTGTCAGAGCTCTTCCGTGGAACTTGATTCACCTCATCCTTAACCTTTTCAGTCTTTACTTCCGATTTTACCTCGTCCAGAACGTAGAAATCGAAACAAATGTTGTTACCATTCACTTGGCCACTAGCAGTCGCATTTTCATGTGTTCCATTGGCTGTGTGCGCTGATCTTGACACTCTTGACACAATCGCAATACCATCGTTGTCTTCTGGCTCTTGTTTGACGGTCGGCTCTAGTTTCATTTCCATTCCGCACAAAATCGATTCATTTTCCAACGCAATGGCATCGAAGTCGTGCTTATTAGGCGCCTCTGTAGCGTGACCATTCATTGCGACACAATTGCGATGCTGTCAATCAGAAATCAGAAAGTTCATTAGAAGCCACACATGGAACACACTTTTGAAACACCACACTTTGGCATTAAAACTCACCTTTCTGCACGAAAAAGTTCACAAATTTAACTTTTTATTTCGTTATTGCAAAATATTGGTCGAAAACTCAGCGAATAAATTACAAAACACGAATTGTGTGTTGGAATGACTCTGTTGAGCAGAGCAAAAATGGCGTCGCGAATAAAAGAAAATATTTAGTTTGGCTGTAGTCGATGCTCTGCGATATGCTCTGTGCTGATGCGCTAATGAAATAGCAATGAACGAACAGGGCACACAGCCACACGCTGCAATGACAAGTGTCAAGAGTCGAATTTTGAAATATCATGTAGTGTTACTGCAGTGAATTTCGGATTTTTCGATGAGTTCGGGTTGCATATTTTGAAAATGTACGGATTATGATTTGTAAGCAGCGGATATTTTATTTCTGAAAACTAGTTTTCTTCTTCGCACTACGATAGAGTTCATCTCTAAACCGCTGAAATTCAAGGTTTCATAAAATAGAAATTGCAACTAGTTTTCACGAATGGATATTCGATGTCAGTGCTTTTTCTATTTTCACAGATTTCTTTGAAACCAATTCTAAAACTCCGCACCGAATAACCGTTGAATCTTGGCTAATTTTGGGAACAGTTTATTAAATCGTTAGATAACATGCTATCGAGTTCTGGATTTCGGGGAACCCAAAAACTGTTTCATATCAAATGATACCAGTCAAATCGACATTTGGGTTTTGTTCACGACGGATTGACATTGTGGATCGCAATTGATTACAATCAATGATTCTACTAACGATCAAGAGCTCGATTCTGGGTTTCTGTTCCTATAGATTAGAAAATAACATATAGCATGTCTCTCACTATGGTGGCAGTTAAGAACAAATCAATCAATCAACCAATTTGTCAACATTTAATGACGTGAATAATTCCCATTGAAACAGAAAGACCAGATTTTATATTTGATAAGATTTCGTATTTGTTTTTATTCAATGCAAATTGATGATCAAAGTTTTACCTAACGATGTGATCGATTTCAAGTGTAATTCCTTGGCAGCAGACAGCTAGTTGTGCATTTTATTGTGTTTGTTGAGAGTTGCCATTTGTGAGAAGCCCTTCGAGCATAGTTCACATCGGAATGGCTTTTCGCCAGTGTGGATTCGAATGTGGTCCATCAAAGCTCACTTACGATCAGTTGTGTAGCTCTTGCAAAAATCGCATCGGTATCCGCGTCGCTTGCAGTTGGCTTCATGATTCTTCTTTTCCTTCTGTTGTGCGAAGATTTTGAAGCAAGATGAACACTTGAATTTCAATGGATGAGGATTGGTGTGAGTTTCGCGATGGCGATCCAAGACACTTAATTGATTGAATCTTTTTGAGCATTGGTTGCATTCGAATGGTCTCTCGCCAGTATGCACACGCAGATGACCTTTCAAATTCGTCTTATGCACACTAGAGAATTCCTTGCACAGATTACACTCATAGCGGCGAACCTTGCAACCGGTTTCGTGTTCCACCTTCTCCTCACTGCAATGAAATCTCTGCGAACAATTTGAGCAACTGAACAGAAATTCATCGACGTGTGTTTTCATGTGCGATTGGAGATTTTGTTTTGTTGTGAATCGTTTCTGGCAAACGCTGCATGGAAATGGTCGTTCGCCGGTGTGCTTGCACATGTGTTTCTTCAAAGCGGTTGTGAAGTCGGTGGCATAATCGCACAATGAACAGTTGTGCCGCATTTCATTCGCATTGCCTTCAGTTGCCTTATCCTTGTCATCAAAACTGTTGGCTTTGCTATTTTTCCCGGTTATAGCTGCACCGCCATTCAACCTACTTGACTTCTGATTCATGACCTTGGAAAGACGCTTCTTTGGAATGCTTTGTGGCGTTTGTTCTTTGCCAAAGCTTCTTCCTGGAACTTGATTCGCCTTATCCTTGAGCTTTTCAATCTTTACTTCCGATTTGACCTCATCCAAATCGTAGAAATCAAAGTAAACGCCAGTGTCAGTCATTTCTGTACCACCAATCGAATTATCAAGCGATTCAATGGCTGTGTGTGCTGACCGCGACACCATCAATATTTCGTCGGAGACTTCATTCTCTCGTTTAATGGTTGGCTCCTGTTTGATTTCCATTCCACACAAAATCGATTCATTGTGCAATGGTATGACATTGAATTGCTGCCTATCATGCGGTTCTGTACCGTGACTATTCATCGCTATGCAATTTTGGTGCTGTCAATCAGAAATCAGAATGACCTTTTGTTATAACCACACATGAAAACTTAAAAAAATACACATTTTTGTTAAAACTCACCTTACTGTACAGCTGTTTTTTTATTGTAAGAAATTATTCAGAACTCAAACGTTTAATTTCGTTATGCAAAATTAAATTGGTCCAAAATCCAAACTCAGCCAATAAACTATAGCTGGCAATAATTGTGTGTTGAAATGACTCTGTTGATGCAGAGCAAAAATGGCGTCGCGAATAGAAGGAAATATTTAGTTTGACGTGTAGTCGATTCTTCGCGATGTGCCTTGTGCTGATGCGATGATGAAAATGGACGAATAGCGCACACAGTCACACCCTGCAATGACAAGTGTCAAAAGTCGAACTTCGAAATATGGGATAGTGTTACTGCAGTGACTTTCGAATTATTCGATGAATTCGGATTGTACATTTTGAAAATGTACGAAATATAATTGGTAATTTGCAAAGCAGCGGATATTTCATTTGTGAAAATTAATTTTTTTTTCTTGGGTGAAATTTGATTGGAAGAATTTCGTGATACATTTTGAATATAACGTCGGAAAATTGTGACAGTTTCAATCGTTTAAGTGGCATGCTTTGCGCAAAATCGCATTTTGATAAATATCATCCGTAACAAACCGCTATCAAATCAAGATTCACGGCTGCATACTCGATGTCAGTGCTTTATTTGTCTTTCACACATTTCTTTGAAACGGATTCTAGAACTTGACGCCGAAAAACCGCTAAATAATGATTGCAATTACGTCAAAAAATAATCGCTTTATCTAAGATAATTTTAAGAAAAGTCTATTAAATCTAACCATCAACAGCATATTCTGAATTTCAGTGAACCCAGAAACTTCAAACATATGAAATGGTACCAGTAGACATTTTATTTTTGTTCACAGCGAATTGATATGCAATCAATGATTCTACAATGTTCAAGAGCATGATTTTGTGTGGCAAATGCAGTTTTTCTGTTCCAATAGATGATAAAAAACAACATATATCATGTGCCCCACACAGTTGGTAGCTACGAACAAATCAATCAATGAACCAATTTGTCATCATTCAATGACGCGAATAATTCCCATTGAAATAAAAGGACCAGATTTTATATTTGATAAACTTTCCTGTTTGTTTTTATTCAATGCAAATTGATGTTTGAGCCAAAGTTTTGTCTTTTGATGTGATCAATTTCAAGTTTAATTCCTTGACAGCAGACAGCTACTTGTAAATCTTCTTGTGTTTGTTGAGAGTTGCCCTTTGTGAGAAGCACTTCGAGCAGGTTTCACATTGGAATGGCTTTTCGCCAGTGTGGATTCGAATGTGGTCCATCAAATTTGGTTTATGATTGGTTGTGTAGCTCTTGCATAAATCGCATCGGTATCCGCGTCGCTTGCACTTGGCTTCATGACTTTTCTTTTCCTTCTGTTGTGCGAAGTTTTTGAAACAAGATGAACACTTGAACTTCAATGGACGAGGATTGGCGTGGGATTTGCGGTGGTGTTCCAAATTACTCGCGTGATTGAATCTTTTCGAGCATTGGTCGCATTCAAATGGTCTCTCCCCGGTATGCACGCGCAGATGAACCTTCAAATTCCTCTTATCCAATGTAGAGTGTTCCTTGCAGAGGTGACACTCGTAGCGACGCACCTTGCAACCGGACTCATGTTCTACTTTCTCCTCATTGCGATGAAATCCTAGCAAACAGTTTGAGCAGCTGAACAGGAATTCATCGACGTGTGTTTTTATATGCGATTGGAGATTGCGTTTTTGGGTGAATCGTTTCTGGCACAGGCTGCATGGAAATGGTCGTTCACCAGTGTGCTTGAACATGTGCCTGGTCAAATGGCATTTAAGTGTAGTGACATAATTGCACAATGAACACTTGTGTCGCTTTTCATTTGTCTTGCCTTCAGTCGGCACCTTCTTGTTACCAACGTCGCTTGATTCTCGATATTTTGAGGCTTTAGTTACACTTTTATTTACACCACCGCCAATCTGCCTACCGGATTTTCGTTCCTCTTCCTTCGAAAAACGTTTCTTCGCATTGTTCTGTGGCGTTTGATCTTCGTTACAGCTGTTCCGTGGAACTTGATTCGCCTCATTCCCAACCTTTTCGACTTTGGCTTCCACTTTAACCTCATCTAGATTATGGAAATCGAAATGATTGTCGGTATCATTCACTCGCTCGCTACCAATCCCATTGTCAGGTCTTTCATTGAATGTACACGCTGATCTCGACTCCATCACAATATCATCGTCGTATTCTGGCTCTTGTTTGACGGTCGGCTCCTGTTTTATTTCCATTCCGCACATAATCAATTCATTCTGCAACGCAATAGCATCGTATTTATGTTTATCCGGCGGCCCTTTGCCGTGACCATTCATTTTGACGCAATGTAAGTGCTGTCAATCAGAAATCAGAATGTTCATTATTTGAAACCACACAGTACACAAACACTAAAAAAATTCCACTTTGACAATAACTCACCTTTTCTCTACAAACTGAACTTTTTGTTCCGGAATGAAAAAATAAATCGATCCAAAGACTGAACCCGTCGATTAAGCTCGACAGCGCATAAATTCTGTCTTAGAGCAACTGTGTTGAGCAGAGCAAAAATGGCGTCGTGAAAGAATGAAAATATCTATTGAGTTGAACTGAACGTGTAGCCAAATCACGGAGATGTGCTGATGCGATGATGAAACAGCAATGGACGAAATGCGCACACAGTGACTTACTGCAGTGACTTTCGAATTTTTCGATGAGTTCGGATTGTCTGTTTCGAAAATCCAGGAGTGATGATTTGTAATTTGCAAAGCAGTGGAGACTTCATTTCTGAAAATTGATTTTCTTCTTGGATGAAATTTGAATGGAAGAATTTCGTGACCCATTATGAATATTACAGCGGAGAATTGCAAAATCGCATTTTGATAGATGTCACCTCCATTCTTTATTCTTTATTGGTAAAAAGGCAATATATACATTTAACAGCCGTATGAACAATTACAAAATTTAACATGCTCATATATATATGGTTCATGAAGGAAATAATGACTGAAATTATAATACATGGCTCGATACTCGATGTTTACGCTTCTTCTATTTTTTTAAAAAATGTCTCTGAAGCCGATTCTGCAAACTTGGCATCAATTCATCTTTGAATCTTTCAAAATTTCAAGAGTAGTTTATTAAATAACATGCACATGATCTTGGTTTCAGGGAACCTTAAATCTCATTCTTATGATACGTTATCATTTAATTCATATCGAAATAAATCACACAGATGTTTTCACAGCGAAGTCACATGCTGTTTATCATAATCAATGATTCAAAGCAATGCTCAAGAGCTCGTTTTCGTGTTGTGAATGCAATTTTTCTGTTCCAATAGCTGATAGAAAGTAACATATAACATGTGCCCCCCACACTTTGCAGCTAAGAACAAATAACGAAAATCACTCTCGAAATGAATGAAATTGAAACATTCAATTTTATTTAAACATTGTTGAATGGAAATAAAGGAAGTTTGATACATTTTCGTATTTATTTTTATTAATTAAAATTGGAAAGTGAAAGTTGTGTCTTCGATGTGATTGATTACACGATGCAGGTGTTATTCCATGGGAGCTAACAGCTACTTGTGGATCTTCTTGTTTTTGTCGAGAGTTGCCCTTTGCGAGAAGCACTTTGAGCATTGGCCACATCGGAATGGCCTTTCGCCAGTGTGGATTCGCATGTGATCCATGAAACGTGCTTTATGACGGATTTTAAGTAAACAAAAACGGTAACAATTAAACCATCTGTAATAAAATAGTAGCGTTCTGGTCTCATTACTTTTCCGCACGCCCATGTCGTGAGTAAAAGTATTGTAATCACTCCAAAACCTAGGTACCCCGAAAAACCATTTTTCTATCCATTTTCGACACCAAAAAGCACCTTAAAATGGTTATTTTGCTATGTTAATGTGGGTGTGTCGTACCCTGTACGCTGTACGCAAAAATTTGTTAGCGCGATTGCTCAAATACCAGAATGGGAAATGAAATTCTGCAAGTACCAAACGTTTGTGCTTCATTAGACTTGGAAACCATTAAATTTTCAGCCACCCCAAGATACCTAGCCTATGAAAAACCTTCAAAAAATCGAACTTTTGTTCGGGAGGTACCCAAAATAGGCTCCCCAGGTGGATTTTATCACTCCCACTCGATTTATTTCATCAAATTAATAGGGGTCCAGGAACAACCTAGCACCCTCTAACCCACTTTTTTCGTATCAAACCGGTATAATAATTCAAAATTTCTTGCATTTTTTTGTTCTTAATTTTGTTAAAAATCGCGCTCTCGTATGAGAATTTCAAATCACTCCTTCGCTGTTTGCTCATTCATGTTGTTCTATGGATTCGAAGGGCTGCCATATAAATACAATGTAAAAAAAGACGCGTTACGATTTTGGTCAAGAAAAATGTGGTTATTTTAAATGGTATTTTTTTCAACTCGTCACATTTTGTTCCAATTTTTTAATTCCAAATCAATATTTTTTAATAATAAAACATTTGAATCAAATTTAAAACGAATTTTGGTTTAGTTTCTGAAAAACTGCTCAAAATCTTCACACAAAAACAATTCATGAAACGAAAAATTACACAGCACATGTTCAATCGAAGAAAAAATAAAATGTTCTTTGAATTGAACATTAGTAGATGTGCGATGCGATGTGATGTCAACCTTATAAAAAGCGCACACAGTCATACATTCCATTGACAGCTTCGCCAGTTCGAAATTCGTGTGGGGAAATTCTTATGAATTTCCTAGGCAAAATCTGAATAAAAACTGAACGCTATGAAAACGGTGCGGAAAAGTTCGTCTTACGGAGGTAAGACTATTTATTTCATATTGCGGTTCTGCTGAAAATCGGTCAAGATCGGCCGCCGATTTTCCGCCGATTTAAGCATTTTTGCTATATTTGCCGACCCACAAGATGGATTTTAACAAAATATACATTTTTAGAAAGAGGAAGATTACATCAATAAAAATATATAAATTTTGTTAAAATCCGTTCAGTGGTTCAAAAGTTATGGCCAAAATTCCGAATGGTCTTCTTAAATCGGTGACCAAATCGGCCGCCTAGGAAAACGATCCTTAAAAGTTAGAACCATCGTGTTTAATGTGCAAGAGAGATAATTGGTAATTTGCAAAGTGGATATTTCATTTCTCAAAATTGATTTGCTTTTAGGATAAAAATGTATTGGGAGAATTTTAAAATACATTTTGAACATAGCAACCGGAAAATTATTGCATCTTTGACCCTCCAAGTAGCCCAAGTATTGTGCAAAATCGCATTTTGATAGATGTCGCTTCTATCCAACCGCAAACAAATCAAGATATCATGAAAAAAATAATAATTGTAATCAGAATTTACGCCTGGATACTCGATGTTGGTGCTTTTTTCCTTTTTTAAGAATGTCTCTGAAGGCAATTGTAGAACGTGTCTTCAATTAATCGTTGAATCTTGGAACATTTCAGGAGTAGTTTAACAAATAACATGCACTTGATCTTGGCTTTAGGGAACCTAAAACCCCATTCGTACGATACGTTATTCATACGTTCAATTCAAATCGAAATAAATCTAATTTTTTCACAGTGAATTCACATGCTGTTTGTCATAATCTATGATTCGAACTATGCTCAAGAGCTCGTTTTCGTGCTGTGAATGCAATTTTTCTGTTCCAACAGCTGATAGAAAGCAACATATAACATGTGCCCCGCACAGTTGGCAGCTAAGAACAAATAACTAAAATTACTCTCGAAATGAATGTTGTTTGTCAACATTCAATTTAATTTAAACATTGTCGAATGAAAATAAAGGAAGTTTGATACATTTTCGTATTTGTTTTTATTAATGCAAATTGATGATCAAAAGTTGTGTATTCGCTATTCGATGTGATTGATTGCAGGATGCAGGTGTTATTCCATGGGAGCTAACAGCTACTTGTGGATCTTCTTGTGTTTGTTGAGATGTGCCTTTTGTGAGAAGCACTTCGCGCAGGTCTCACATCGGAATGGCTTCTCACCAGTGTGGATTCGCATGTGGTACATCAAATTTGTTTTCTGATCAGTTATGTAGCTCTTGCACAAATTGCATCGGTATCCGCGTCGCTTGCAGTTGGCTTCGTGACTTTCCTTTTCCTTCTGTTGTGCAAAGTTTTTGAAGCAAGATGAACACTTGAATTTCAATGGACGAGGATTGGCGTGGGAATTGCGATGGCTTTTTAAATTATTTTTGCGCTTGAATCTCTTTGAGCATTGGTTACATTCGAATGGCCTCTCACCGGTATGCACGCGAAGATGAACCTTCAAATTCGTCTTAAGCAAACCAGAGGAATCTTTACAAAGATGACACTCGTAGCGACTAACCTTGCAACGAGTTTCGTGTTCCTCTTTCTCTTCGCTGCGATGAAATCCTTGCGAACAATTCGAGCAACTGAACAGAAATTCATCGACGTGTGTTTTCATGTGCGATTGGAGATTGCGTTTCTGGGTGAATCGCTTCTGGCACACGCTGCATGGAAATGGTCGTTCGCCAGTGTGCTTGAGCATGTGCCTGATCAAATTGCTTTCATATGTAGTGACATATTCGCACAATGAACACTTGTGTCGCTTTCCATTTGTTTTGCCTTCAGTTGATACCCTTTTGTCACCAAAACTATTCGCTTTGCTAATATTACCGGTTTGGGCTGCACTTTTCTTTGTCACATCTTCATCCGGTTCATTCAACTTCGGTTTCGGGAAACACGTGTTCTCACTGTTTTGTGGCTTTTGATTTTCGTCAGAGCTCTTTCGTGGAACTTGACTAGCTTCATCCTTAACCTTTCCAATCTTTACTTTCGGTTTAACCTCACCCGTATCATGAAAATCGTAGCAAACGTCGGTATTCACTTGATGGCGACCAATCGCATTGTCAGCTCTTCCATTGAATGTGTATGCTAATCTCGACACCACCACAATACCGCCGTGATCATCTGGCTCTTGTTTGACAGTCGGTTCCTCTTTGATTTCCATTCCACACAAAATCGATTCATTTCGGGACGCGATGGCATCAGATTCGTGTTTATCAGGCGGCTCTCTATCGTGACCATTCATTGCGACGCAATGTCAGTGCTGTCAATCAGAAATCAGAATGGTTGTTCAATGTTCATTATTTGAAACCACACATGGCACAAACACTTGAAAAATTCCATTTTGGCAATAACTCACCTTTTTTCTACAAAATAAATTTTTTGTTTCGGAAATGCGGAAAAAATGATTCAAAGACTAAACTCGTCGATTAATGTCCGCAGCGCACAGATTGCGTGTTGAAATGACTCTGTTGAGCAGAGCAAAAATGGCGTCGCGATGAAAGAAAATATTTAGTTTGACGTGTAGTCGATGCTCTACGATATGCTCTACGCCGGAGCGACGATGAAATAGCGATGGGTGAACAGCACACACAGGCACACGCTGCAATGACAAGTGTCAAGAGTCGAACTTCGAAATATGGTGTCGTGTTGCCTCAATGACTTCCGAATTTTTCGGTGAGTTCGGGTTGCACATTTTGAAAATGTACGAATAAGTGGTAATTGACGAAACAGAGGATTATTATTTCTAAAAATTGATTCTCTTCTGGGATGAACCTTGGAAGGATTTCGTAATACATTTCGAATTTTACATCAAAAAGTCTTCACAAAAACTCCCAATTTTAAAAAGTCGAATCCTAAAATGTAAAATCGCATTTCGATAGATATCTCCTCTATACAACTGTAAACAATCGATGTCAGTGCTTTATGTTTTATCAGATATTTCTTGGTAGCCGGTCCAATCCTTGAGACCAAATTATCGTTGAATCTTGACTAAAAATTTAGAGAAGAATTTAGCAAATCTAACACCAACACGCACTTGAGCTGGGTTCCGAAAAATGTAAAAAATTATTCGTGTGATAGGTCACCATTCAATTCCATATTACATGTTGTTTCACAGCGAATTGACATGCAATTGTCCGTAATCAATTATTCAAGTGATGTTCAAGAGGTTGTTTTCGTACTTCGCCAAAATGAATTTTTCTATTCCAATAAGAATACGAATTGTTAGACTTCTGGACAAGTTACAGCCTACAATGCATCACATTTCCTTCACACGGTTGACAGCTACAAATAAATAAATTTTCTCTTTATGACACCTAATGAACCAATATGTCATCATTCAATCATTTCAATTAGTTTCGATTGATACAAAAAGACAAGATTTTATATTCGATACGATTTCGTATTTGTTTTTATTCAATGCAAATTGATGTTTGAGCCAAAGTTTTGTCTTTCGATGTGATCAATTTCAAGTTTAATTCCTTGGCAGCAGACAGCGCCTTGTGAATCTTCTTGTGTTGATTGAGATTTGCCTTTTGCGAGAAGCATTTCGAGCATACTTCACATTGGAATGGCTTTTCGCCAGTGTGGACTCGCATGTGCTCCATCAAATGAGTTTTACCATCAGTTGTGTAGCTCTTGCACCAAGCGCATCGGTATCCGCGTCGCTTGCAGTTGGCTTCGTGACTTTCCTTTTCCTTCTGTTGTGCAAAGTTTTTGAAGCAAGTCGAACACTTCAATTTCAATGGAGGAGGATTGGTGTGAGATTTGCGGTGTCGTTTCAAGGCACTTGATTGATTGAATCTCTTTGAGCATTGGTCGCATTGGAATGGTCTCTCGCCGGTATGTACGCGCAGATGATCTTTCAAATGATGCTTCATCAAACTAGAGGAATCCTTGCACAGATGACACTCATAGCGACGAACTTTGCAATCAGATTCGTGTTTCACTTTCTCCTCGCTGCGATGAAATCTTTGTGAACAATTCTAGCAGCTGAACAGAAATGCATCGACGTGTGCTTTCATGTGCAATTGGAGATTTCGTTTCCGGGTGAATCGCTCCTGGCACACGCTGCATGGAAATGGTCGTTCGCCGGTGTGCTTGAGCATGTGTTTCTTCAAAGCAGTTGTAAAGTCGGTGACATAATCGCAAAATGAACACTTGTGTCGCTTTCGATTTGCCTTGCCTTTGGTTGTCTTCTTTTTTTCACCGAAACTATTCGATGTCTTATTTTCCCCGGTTATAGCTGCACCCCCATTCAACCCGATTGACTTCTGATTCTTGTCCTCGGAAAGATGCTTCTTTGGAATGCTTTGTGGCGTTTCGTCTTTGCCAAAGCTTCTTTTTGGAATTTGATTCGCCTCATCATTGACCTTTTCAATCTTCACTTTCGATTTTACCTCACCCAGATTGTAGAAATCGAAGCAAACGTCGCTGTCTCTCACTTCTGCACTACCAATCAAATTGTCAAACGATCCAATGGCTGTATGTATTGATCACGATACCATCAAAATTTCGCCGGAGACTTCAATCTCTTGTTTGACGGTCGGCTTCTCTTTAATTTCCATTTTGCACAAAATCGAGTCACTTTGATTCGCAATGTCATTCGATTCGTGATTACCAGGCGGCTCTGTACCGTGACCATCCATTGCGACGGCGCTGTTTTTAGTGCTGTCAATCAGAAAATCAGAATGACCTTTTGTTAGAACCGCATATGAAAAATGGGAAAAATACACTGTTTTGTTAGAACTCACCTTTCTGCACAAATCTTTTCATTTCAAGGAATTGATCACAAATCAAGTGTTTTATTTCGTTATTGCAAAAATAAATTGGTCGAAAATCCAAACTCAGCGAATAAACTACAAAACATAAATAATAATAAGTCGCGAATAAAAAAAATTTAATCTGACGTCGATGCTCTGTGATGTGCTTTGTGCTGATGCGATGATGAAACAGCGATAGACGAACAGGGCACACAGTCACACGCTACAATAACAGGTGTCAAAAGTCGAACTTTGAAATATTGTGTAGTGTTACCGCTACGACTTCGCGTTTTTCGATGATTTCGGTTGCACATTTAAAAATTTACGAATTATAATTCATATAATCGAAAATATAGAATTCAGTACATATACAGTCTCATAGCTCATTATAATTTGTAAGCAGCGGATATTTTATTTCTGAAAACTAATTTTCTTCTTCGCACTACGATAAGTGTCAACTCTAAACCGCTAAAAATCAAGGTTTCAGGAAATAATAATTACAATCAGAATTCACGAATGGATATTCGATGTCAGTGCTTTTTATCTCCTCACACATTTCTTTGAAACCGATTCCAAAACTAAGCACCGAATAAGCGTCCAATTGAATTTTGGCCAATTTTAGGAAATTTTCATTGAATCTAACCAACATGCTGTTGATCTCTGGGCTCCTGGGAAAATTGTTTCTTATCAAACGATATCGGTCAAATCGATATTTTAGTTTTGTTCCCAACGGATTGACATGCTCTTGATTACAATCAATGATTCAAGCAATGCTCAAGAGCTCATTTTCGTAGCGTGGGAATGATTTTCTTTTCCTAAAGATGATAGACTATCATTGATAAAACATACTAGGTGGATTGAAAAGTTGGGTACTTTTTGAATGAAAACACATTTTTTTCGAAAAATTCAATTTTATTTCTCAACATATTCTCCTTTTAACTCGATACAGCGAGCTCAACGATCTTCCAACATTTGGATGTCCTTCAAAAAGTACGATTTTTCTTTCAACCCAAAATATGCTAAATTTCTCCATTTTACTCCCGATCATAGCAAACGCTCGCGTCCTAAGACCTTACAATTAAGTTTAGATGACTTGCGAGTTAAGAGTGAGACAATGCCTAAAAAATTCAGTATGCAATGCGGCAATTTATAGCTTTAATCAATGGATTTTACCACCATAAAATAATATGTGAACTGAATGAAAATCTTGGTAAAAATGTGTATTTTCTTCTTTGAACTTTTACCCATTTGACTATGATTTTCTATTCCGATCAATCTGAAAATGACAAGATATGTTCTCGTAGTATCACTTTTAATATTTCTGTATAGTATTGCCCATTAATATTTTCATACCTCAAATGGTCGTTGTCCAAATCTTTTGAGTCGTTTTTTTTTCGATTTGGTGGCCTTAGAGCATTTGAACAATGTCTACTTACTGTTTTGACTATATTTATGGGTTCCCATATGTTGGAATGTGTTTAAAATACATCAAGTTCTATATATAGTCGCAAAAATTTGTTTATTTTTTGCGTATATTGCTCCAAATATCTATGGGTGAGATTGAGAGTAGTGTATGTTTCATTGACTTTGTTACGAAAGAGAAGAGCAAGTTTCTGTCGACTTAAAAATGGTTAAAAGCGAGTATGTTCGTTTTTAGCGGGTCCTCGCGGTTTTTCACGGTTTCCGCGGAACTGATAAGAGATAACAACTTGGTGTTTTCGGCAAAGTTGTAGCACTCGTGGTCTTCTATAACATTGCTGAAGTCAGTTATCTCTTATCTCTTATCAGTTCCGCGAAAAGCGCGAAAAATGATAAGAAAGAAAAAGTTCCATATGAAATTTGCTTTTTTATGTGCGCAATTTGCGCGCGACTGATAAGAGATAAGAGATTATTGTCTTCAGCTTAGTTATAAAAGACCTCGAGTACTACAACTTTGCCAAAGACACCATGTTGTTATCTTTTATCAGTTGCGCGAAAACCATAAAGACCGCGGAGACTAGACGGTACTACAACATACTCTACTTTAACGCCAACAGAATCATCAGAAAACATACTCGCCTTTTCAAAAATATAAATCGAAGAAAAAACATACTCCACTCTCAATCTCACCCATAGATATCACCACGAATTTTGAAATTTTTGTACTTCATTCCTTAAAATGAAAAGTGCGGCAGCCTTTTTTCGTTTGACTTTTTCGTATGTGAATGTGGATACATATTTGCAACTATTATTTTATTTAGTAGACCCATGGTGTTAGCAATCTTGCGCACTATCACATTAGAATCATATGATATGTGTCGTTGAGAATAAAAATGGAATTAGCCGAAACCGCGTGTTTTTATACGAATCATTTTTGTGTTTCTGGTACAAGATATGGGGCAAGTATCTCAAGCAAAGATAAAGATCTTGAAATGTTCTAAAACATTGCAGCAGACATATGTCTTCTATCTCTTACCAGGAACACAAAAATGATTCAAATGTAAATGAGCGGTTTCGGCTAATCCCATTTTTATTCTCAACGACACATATCATGTCATTGATTTATTTGATGATTTCTTGGACAAGGTCGATTTTTTAGCACTTCGGAGGTTTATCGATGAAATTGCTCGTATAACTATGTTTAAATTGAATTTTCCTACATTATAACATTGTTTTCGATTGTTTAGAGACACCACAAACTAAATCCAATTTGAATTTGATGCACCTATCTGTTTTGATTTTAAAGCGCAAGTGCGTAATCAAGAGAAAAAAATTAATTTTTCCCTATTAAAAATTTTTCCGGAGGTTTGTTACTACCAGGAGCTATAACTTGCGAACTAATGATCGCATTTGGCTCAAATTTTGACAGCTGTCTTATAAAGGATGGTGCTTGTCAAAAAACATATGGATTTGATATTCGTATCGCCCTTTCATAGAAAAGTACCCAACTTATCAATCATCCTAGTAACATATAATACGTGCTTCACTAAGTTGGCAGTAAAGAATAAACCAATCAATGAACCAATTTGTTAAAATTCAATCATTTGAATTAGTTTCAATTGAAATAAAACGACCAGATTTTATATTTGATACAATTTTGTATTTGTTTTTATTCAATGCAAATTGATGGCTGAGCCATAGTTTCGTCTTTTGATGTGATCAATTTCAAGTTTAATTCCTTGGCAGCAGACAGCTACTTGTGAATTTCCTTGTGCCGTTGGAGATGTGTCTTTTGCGAGAAACACTTCGAGCGCACTAACATGCACTTGATCTAGGTTCCAGGGAACTTAGAACCTTTTCTAGTCATACGTTACCATTCAATACGATACTTGAGTCATCATAAAATTGTTCACAATCAATGAATCAAGCAATGCGCAAGAGTTCCATTTCGTACTGTGAGAATGATTTTTCTGTATTCTGTTCCAGGTAGAATACGATTGCTTGAACTCTGGACAAGTTACATCGTATAACTTTCCCCCCACACGGTCAACAGCTAAGAACAAATCAATTAGATCAGATTCATAATGAACCAGTTTATTATTTATTTGAATTCATTTCAATTGAAATAAAAAGAACCGATTTTATATTTCATACAATTAAGTATTTGTTTTCATTCAATACAAATTAGTATTCTACTTATAAAATTGTGTTTGAAGTTGTCTTTCGATGTGATCGGTTGTCAGTGCTATTCCTTGACAGCAGACAGCTACTTGTGAATTTTATTGTGTCGGTTGCGATGTGCCTTTTGTGAGAAGCACTTCGAGCATATTTCACATCGGAATGGCTTTTCGCCAGTGTGGACTCGCATGTGCTTCATTAAATCTCCTTTTTGATCAGTTGTGTAGGTCTTGCACAAATCACATCGGTATCCGCGTCGCTTGCACTTGGCTTCATGATTTTCTTTTTCCTTCTGTTGGGCAAATTTCTTTAAGCAAGATGAACACTTGAATTTCAATGGGCGAGGGTTGGTGTGAGTTCTGTGGTGGCGTTTCAAAAGATTTGCTTGCTTGAATCTCTTTGAGCATTGGTCGCACTCGAATGGTCTCTCGCCGGAATGAACACGCAGATGACGTTTCAAATTCGTCTTACTCAATGTAGAGAATTCCTTGCACAGATGACACTCGTAGCGACGTATCTTGCAACCGGTTTCATGTTTCACTTTCTCTTCGCTGCGATGAAATCCTTGCAAACAATTCGAGCAACTGAACAGAAACTCATCGACGTGTGTTTTCATGTGCGATTGGAGATGTTGTTTCCGGGTGAATCGTTTTTGGCACAGGCTGCAAGGAAATGGTCGTTCGCCGGTGTGCTTGAGCATGTGTCTTTTCATTTGACTTTTGTCGGAAGTCTGATACTCGCACAATGAACACTTGTGTCGCTTTTCATTTGTCTTGTCTTGAGCTGGATTCTGCTTGTTACCAAAACTGTTTGCTTCGCCACTTTTTCCAACCTTGGCTGAACATTTTTTTGCCGCAACGTCATCCGATCCGTTTGATTTTGGTTTCGGGAAACGTTTGTTCGCATCGTTTCGTGGCTTGCGATTTTCGTCAGAGCTCTTCCGTGGAACTTGATTCACCGCATCCCTAACCTTTCCAGTTTTTACTTCCGATTTTACCTCGTCCAAATCGTAGAAATCGAAACAAATGTTGGCACCATTCTCTTGGTCACTAGCAATCGCATTTTCAAGTGTTCTATTGACTGTGTACGCTGATCTTGACACAATCACAATACCATCGTTGTCTTCTGGTTCTTGTTTGACAGTCGGCTCCAGTTTCATTTCCATTCCACACAAAATCGATTCATTTTCCAACGCAATGGCATCGAAGTCGCGTTTATTAAGCGGCTCTCTTGCATGAATATTCATTGCGACACAATTTCGGTGCTGTCAACCACAAATCAGAATTTTCATTAGAAACTACACATTGAACAAATTTTTGCAAAACCACACTTTGGCTTTAAAACTTACCTTTCTGCACTGAAAATATTTACAAATTAAACTTTTTGTTTCGTTATTGCAAAATTAAGTTGGTCGAAAATCCAAACTCAGCGAATAAACTACAAAACACGAATTGTGTGTTAGAATGACTCTGTTGAGCAGAGCAAAAATGGCGTCGAGAATAGAAGAAAATATTTATTGAGTTGAACTGAACGTGTAGCCGATTCACAAAGATGTGAACTATGTGCTGATGCGATGATGAAACAACAATGAACGAACAGCTCACACAGACATACGCTTCAATGACAGGTGTCGAAACTCGAAATATGTTGTAGTGTTGCCGCAGTGAATTTCGAATTTGTCGATGAGTTTGGGTTGTCTATTTCGAAAATGCATGCATTCTTGCAAGAGAGATAATCTTACCTCCGTAAGACGAACTTTTCCGCACCGTTTTCATAGCGTTCAGCTTTTATACAGATTTTGCCTAGGAAATTTTTAAGAATTTTCAGAAAAAAAACAACAGTACGTTCATGTATTTTATGGAAAATTGTATTATGATTTCGAAAATCTTGATTTTGGGTATTCAAATGAAATAAAACGTCTGATTGTCTTTATTGTCGTCTGAATACTGAAAAAATTGGAACAAAATGTGACGAGTTGAAAAAAATACCATTTAAAATAACCACATTTTTCTTGACCAAAATAATAACGCGCCTTTTTTAGCACTACATGAAATGTAAAGCTCTCTTTTTTGTCCTAATACTTTTTGAGTACTGAAACAAATTATGATGAATTTGAATTTTATGCTCATATTTTTTATTTAATTTAAACCAGAGTTTGACTTATCCGCCAGATATATGCTATGGCATAAAAAAAAAATGCGCATATTTTTTGGTACATTTGGATTTTGTGACTAACTTACCATGTAAATTCATGTGCACTCCACGATTTTTTGTGGATCCCACGATTTTTTGTCCCAAATTCGTGGTATTCATATGAATTTACATGGTAAGTTAGTCACAAAATCCAAATATGAGCATATTTTTTTTATGCCATAGCATATATCTGGCGGATAAGTCAAACTCTGATTTAAACCAAAGTATTTCAAAAAAAAGAAATAAAACCAAGATCTTGTAATTCATTTTTGAAATAACTGAGAATTTTTTTCCTGTACTTTACTTTAATGAAATACATTTCATGTAGTGCGCCAAAAAATAGTTTGTTGTGAAACAAGAAATCAGAATAAGTAACTAAAATCTCAAGAACACAGAGCGGAGCGAAGCGATGCTCTGCGGTCTTGTTTTACATTGTATTTATATGGCAGCCCTTCGAATCCATAGAACAACATGAATGAGCGAAGGAGTCATTTGAAATTCTCATACAAAAGCGTGATTTAAAAAAAAAATAAGAACAAAAAAATGCAAGAAATTTTGATACCGATTTGTTGTTTCACAACAAACTATTTTTTGGCGCACTACATGAAATGTATTTCATTAAAGTAACTTTGAAGTAATATATTTATTTGCCACAAAGTACAGGAAAAAAAGGTGGGTTACCGGGTGCTAGGTTGTTCGTGGGCCCCTATTATTTTGATGAAATAAATCGGGTGGGAGTGATAAAATCCACCTGGGAGCCTATTTTGGGTCCCTCCCGAACAAAAGTTCAATTTTTTGAAGGTTTTTCATAGGCTAGGTATCCTAGGGTACATCTTGGGTGGCTGAAAATTTAATGGTTTTCAAGTCAAGCACAAACGTTCGGTACTTGCAGAATTTCATTTCTTATTCTGGTGTTCGAGCAATCGTGCTAACAAATTTTTGCGTACAGCGTACAGCGCACAGCGTACAGGGTACGACACACCCACATTAACATAGCAAAATAACCACTGTATCGTGCTTTTTGGTGTCGACAATGGATAGAAAAATGGTTTTTTGGGGTACCTAGGTTTTGGAGTGATTACAATACTTTTACACACGACATGGGCGTGCGGAAAAGTAATGAGACCAGAACGCTACTATTTTATTACAGATGGTTTAATTGTTACCGTTTTTTTTACTTAAAATCCGTCTTTATCATCCGGTACAGTTGCACATGGGGCCTATTTGCAATTATTTTTCTCGTAATTTTTAAAAAGACTTAAAATTTGAATGGGCTCGGGCCAGAGCTAGAGCTAGTACTATCCGGGAGCTAAAAAATATGAGCAAAGAATATTGACATTTAAAAAAAACGTCACGGTTAGTCAGGATACCAAGCATTGATAGGCTCGATATTTCTATCTCACATCCAAATTTCTGTTCAAGTGACATTTGATGCGTGAATTGGACGATGCAATTATCGCACTTAAATTTACATGGTACACATACGATCCAAACGATCAATTACAATATTAAATTATATTACAGAACAAAGTTACCTGTTATTCATGCAAACATCAGTATGCACACAAAATAAAGCCGCATACTTCAGCACACATATGTAGCTTCAGCTGAGCACAACATTTACTTAAGCTTTTTTATTTATCCTTTGTTTCAAACAAATCGGGCATGAATTTTCGATGATTCAAAAAATTATTTTTATTTTAGAAAAAATTATTATTTCAGTAAAAATAAGCAAACTGGGCAAACACCATTTGCTTTGTAACGATTTTTCTTAAAGTTTATGCCTAATTATTTTGGTATAGATTTCTACAATGCAACCATAGTTTTTTGATGATTTTTAAATGCCCATTCCGAGTCAAAGCTCGGCTTTAGATGTCCAGAAAAAAAATAATGCTAAAACTAATGAAACCATCAGGTCTTTGTGGGTAAATTATCACTATTTGGCCCAACCATTTTCATGTAAAGGTGTCAATCCGACAAATATATCCAGACAATCGGACATCGTACCAATTATATGCACATAACAAATATATTTGAAAAGTTCAACCTGTGCTTCTCTCCCATAAGAACTAATGTATTTGACGTGACAGTGAATAGCGGTAGCGCCTAAATAGGATCTGCGGCAACTTAAGGAACTATCAATACTTCTTGTTGTTGCGAAATTCATGACAACAACAACAAGTATTGATAGTTCTTAAAAATTCCGTAAATTGCGAATAGGCGCCACCGCTATTTTGCGCCGGTCAAAAGCACAGTTTGGAAAAGTTTAAGTCCGTCTTTAAATTAAAGCCGGCCCACAGAGAAGCGCACAATAAGATTTTATTGTCACAATAACGTAACGAGTGGTGTGTCAGTCGTACGCATATACAGCATTGCGTGCGACTGATCAAGTAGCCATTGCACCGTTAATTGAAACGACTCGTGCGGATGAGTGTAAGAACGAGCGAGAGACACACCACTCGTTACCTTATTGTGACAATAACATCTTATTGTGCGCTTTTCTGTGGGGGAGCACTTGGAAGCGGCATAAGGAAACGTTCGATTTGCTTTTAGGAAATGTTACGTTTTCCGTTTAGTGGTCTGATTCGTGGTTGCAGCAGTGGGAACTAAAGTCACATTCGATTTTTGACGCTTTGACTAGTGATGCCATTGTACTGATTTTACCTTGGATACAATCAGACGAATCAATTGAAGAACTCAAGTTCTTGCAACTATCGATTATGTAATAAATGAGCTATAGCAACTGAAAATGATAAAAATACCTAAATAAGAATCCACATCAAAATTATTCCAATAAAAAAATCGAACTACACAAATCCAACATAAACTCGGTTCGCTTTATTTGCATTTATTGGTTGTTTTTCATATTAGAACATATTAAATTTGATCACTTTTATTTATTCGAATGAAAAGTTTCTTATTCTAGAATTTAGATGTGAACATCAATTGTAGTTGTTCATTTTATCTGTAAATTTGCTCACGCATCGTTCGATAATAATCAGTGTTCATGGCATCAGATATTCAGAGATCGCACGATTGTATGCGTTTGATTTCCACCAGTTTCAAGTCGATCCCCGTTGTTTTCCACTTTGTTGCCAGGTAATTCGATTGAGGGATGTAAATCGTCACTTTGCTGACATACAACGTTTTGGCTAAAAGCTTTTCACGTTCATGGTTCATCGAGACTGGGTCGATGGATTGGTTGGGATTCTCGCCCAATTTCGCGACCACGAAGATCTTCTTCAATTTTGGTGAGAGGTGTACAAACGGTAAAATGTCATCGATGCCGGCCGCATGAAAGTTCACTTCTTTGAGATTTTGAAGGCACTTCGCAATTGTCGGTTTTTTTGCAATGTTCGCGCAATTTCCGATGTCTCTTGAATTGAATTTTAGCACATTTAAGTTTACAAGTGATGAAAAATCGACCATTTCCCCAATATCATATCCACTGAATGAGACGAGGGAGTTCAACGAGCTCAGTTTGTCGACAACCGTTTGATTTGCTTCGATGCTTATATGTAATCGTTTGTATACGCCCTTGGCATGTAGCATATTTAGGAATTCGCAGTCATTCTGTTGTAGCGAATCCGTGAAAATACGCAAGTTGTCCAATTTGAGTTCCATCATCGCGGTTTCGTTTGGCAAAAGCAAATTTAACTGCGTTGATAACGAACGAATATCTGGGTTTTGCTGCAAAAACGATCGCAATTTGACAGCGTTTGCTCTGTTTTCAGTAAACCATGTGAAATGCTCCAGTTTAGGGTATTTTCGGGTGATCCATTCATCATCAAAATCACCGCCAAAAATTTTCAAGTTTCTTACATTCGGGAATCGTCCAAGAACACTTTCGTAAAATGGTTCATTCGCTTCACACAAAAACAAGAAAATATCTTCGATTTGATTTAGGAATTCCTTGGGCATCATTTTGATTTGGTCCAAACTAGCATCACGGAAATATAGTTTTCTGACTGATTTGTACACATTCAAATCAACGTTGGTCAAATCCAATTCATGAGAGTCTGGCGCGAAATACTAGTATACCGGTATATTAATAAAAACCAACACATTCACAATTATACGGGAAATAACTATCGGAAAATTGCTGCTGATAAAAATGACCGGCAACCCGTAGCATTCGTTTACACGTTTGCCCAAAAGAGTGTACATCGGTGAGTGATAGAAAATCAAACACTTTTTCGAAGCAATTGACGTTCAGTTTGAAGATTTGCGGTGGTTGTTCAATGTCCATGTTTTGCTGTGCTTCGTTCATTCCTTTTGCCAGTTCACCTTCGACGTTTCGTGGATCCATTTTGATGTGGTGTAAATTT